TTTTTTTTATTTAGACCAGGACTAGGATTAATTCTTCTGTGCAGGACCGAGAGCAAACTGTTTTGACCGAATCAAGGCTAAATTTTGTTTCGATAGGGACTGTAGCCAATTTTTTTACCAGACCCAGATCTTTTATTGATAGAAAGTGGGATCGACAGCGAGACCAAACTATTTTTGATAGAAGCCAGGATGGAAATCAGAATCATCATGCTTTGATTGAAGTGATATCTATTTTGATGGCATAAAATTTGTGTTAAAAGTCATATTGTCATGACTCTTATTCTGAAAGTTTATGCAAAAATTGTTGAGAAATATAGCAACATATGTCAATGTTGTAGATAACACTTATATTTCACTTATTGAAGAAAAAATACAAAAATAGTACAAAAAAGAGCGACATATGAATATCAAAATACATCGTCTTCATAATTATTTCCACTATTACTAGTTTCATTGTCTTCCTCATCGTTGCTTGAATCATCAACAATTTCATATAGTTCTTGGTTTACTAATTTTTCCATCGAAGAACTGTTTATAGTATTAACATGATGAAATGTTGATAAAAATGTCAAATTACTTTTGAGAAACATCAATTTATCAATTTTTGCAGTATTCAATCGTGTCCTTTTATTTGTAACACTTGCTGCGCTAGTTGAAAATAACCGCTCAACGCTAGTATTTGTTGCCGGAATGACAAGGATGTCAAAAGCAATTGAACTTAGTAGTGGATAAGTATACTGTTGTTTATCCCGAAAGTCGAATAAATCATCTGTATCCGAATCGAATGTGAAACATGCTTTTATGTACTTTTCAATTTCTGTTTCATCATTTGATATAGCTTCATCTAATGGATCAGGATCAGGATCATAACAATTAGCAAGTAAATTTGTTCTTTTTCTTTTTGGTGTAACTGAAGATGTTGTTAGTTTACCAGATGTTGTATGTGTCTTTGGTTCAAGTGATTGTCGTTCATTCATTTCTTCTTTTAAAACATCATAAAATTCATCTTTTAGTTGAGGACAAATGCTAAACATATAAACATAGAAAAAAAAAAGCTAAAATTAATTAACATATCACGATTAAAATGAGGGTATGCTAATTCAATTTTAATGTTGGATAAAGTAATATCGTTTTAGTCAAATATCGGGCAATCATTAAATAACACATTAAAACAAATTTTTATTAAACTAAAATCCCATTTAGTGATGATAATCTGATTAAAACGTAGGAAGTTTTTTCATATATTTTTAATTCAACATAGTAAATTGTATTTTAATTTCAACAAGATTTTCTGAATGGGTAGAAGGATTTGATAATTGCTCATGCTGTTTTCTCTTAAAGCCTCCTGGAATATATAAGATTCTTTTAAATACTTACGTGCACGCTTTTAATTTTGGATGTAATATCATCGCCATCATATGTTCTCTAGTAATTATCCATTGAGATTCCAACTCAGATAAAAAAAAAGTTTAATCTTTGTCATGGCATCAGAATCATCTGGATCAAATTGAGATAACTTTATTAACTGCATTTTTATTGGAATGACGAGGTGAAGTGTTGGTTTTTTTTCAGCACTTAACGTGTCCGTAGCTTGAACTAAAATAGTTAAAAATTTGTCGATATGCAGAGGAAGAAAATTAAGAAGAGTCAGTTCAATAGTGGAACTCACATTATTACAATTATAGTACATGATATGAAGAAAAATAATACTTACCAAACAACACAAAATATTTTGCAAATTTTTTTAACAAATCCAAATCTATCGATATTAAACGCAGTTTTTGATCAGAATTTGTCAATAATTCGTTCATTTCTGAATACATATCAAGAAAATCTTGTATCATTTGAAACGCACTATTCCACCTGGTTTTAGAAAATAAATTGATCGAATGAGATAATTTTGTTCGTATATGTGTTTGTCTAATATGTGTAACAATTGTTTTGACTTGATTAAATGTTTGCTGAATTAGATCACAACCAATATCACTACTTGTTAATGAATGCTCGATAATTTTATTGACATAATGTGCGGAGCATCCAATTCTTTTGGCTCCGTCTCTAAATGCTGCTTTCATTTTAGGTTCATTATCTGTCACTATATAGACATTTTCATTTATTGTTAAATCAAGTTCAGATAAGATGCCTTCAGTAAATGCACGTATATTAGGACTTTTACTATTAGGTAAATCGTATTCACGACAAGCAAGCACCATAGATTTTAAACCATATTTTTTGAAATAGCAATGAAGTGAAACACCACCAAAATTAACACCAGTGTGCGATTCTGTCCAAAAGTCGATGGTTATTGAATAACGGTTGATACTTTTGATAATTTTTTTTAATTGATTCTTTCTGAATGTGTACATAGCGTCGATTTCTTAACTAATCTGAAAAAAACATCAAAAGTCAGAGCTTCAAAGATAAGAAATCTTACTGTTGTTCGATTGGGAATGATTTTTTCAACTGGGATTGATTTACCTAATGAACGTCCAATTGACATTGTTTCATGAATTATCTTTTGAAAATCAGGACCATCAGCTAGTGCAAATGGACGACTATCTAGAATACAACATTCTGCGATAGCTTTTTTCAATTTATGTTTTGCTAAACGAGTAGCACGTGATTTATTTCGTATATCAACTGTGAAGAACGTAGATATGGATTGACTAGATGATGATGGAGCAGCAGAATGAGATTTAGATCCAATCATGTGCTTTTTCATTACGTTTGTACCATCATTAGCTCGCCATTTCAGTAAAATTTGACAATTATCACAGATAATGTAATTTTGTTTAACACCATTTACTAATATTTGTCAAAATCCATTCCAATGTTCACTTCGTTTTCTTTTTTTTGAGCTGTTGTTGTCTGTTTCAAGTGGATTATAGTAAGAAACGGATGGATCAGTTTTTTTGATCAAGTCTGATAAATCTTCGGCAGATAGCATGTGAATATCAAAATCTAAAAAGAAATTATTCGAATACTTCGTACGAAATTTACTGCAATAAGAAAAAAGTATTCAAGGATATTTAAGCTTCAACTTTGAATTTCAAGGTCAAGATTTGTAAAAAAAATAATTGGGTAACAATCATTTCAATATTCGCTACCACAATTTTGTTAATAAAATTAGTGCGTATTTTATTCAACAACAAAGTGAATGAACACATAAATATACAATATAGACAAAGCACCAGTAAATTAAAAACAGTAACGAACCTCCAAGACGGAGGATATTAAAGACTATTTTGGTCATGCAAGATGTCTCAAGTTTATTGACATTGCTAGAAAATCATATCCTATTTTGCGTTAGTATTTGTATTGCTAACTGTGAAACCAAGACTAAAAAGTTTTTTCGGACACTGACAGAAACCAGGTTGTTTTTTGACTCAGTTTAGGACCAAAAATTTTTTCTGACCAGTGTCGAGATTGGAACCAATTGTCTTTTTTTCTGATCGGGATCGGGACCAGAACCGGGACCGGGACCGGGACCAAAAATGATTGGTCCCGCTCATCTCTAACCAGAACTGTTGAAACTTATTAATTGTAGGTAAAAGTATTGTATTAAAAACAGCTTGTTATTTGATGTGTAAATGTGAATATGTCGATAGAAGAAATACAAATGTGCACAATGACATTGACAGAAGGGAACCAATATAATCTTACTTTTCTCAGATTCATACCGGTAAACTTTAGACCGTTCCATGCAATACAATTATGTGCCTTTTACATTAGTATTCGTGTATGTGTCAAAGCAAAGTCTTTATTATTTATTGGTATTTTATTAAAGCGTTAAAAAGAATAGAAGGCAAATCCACAAACTGAGAGAGCTCTGTGATGATGCTGAATTAGTAATTGTTGCAGTGTTCATTGTAGCGCTCGTCGTAGTTAGCTTTTGAGTACTCATATTAGTACTCATTGTAGCGCTTGTCGTAGTTAGCTCTTTAGTACTCATAGTAGTACTCATTGTAGCGCT